AAGACCGCATCAACTAAACGGAACTGCCCTAATAAACGGGTACCATACACAAACGATATCATAGATGGTACGACCAAACCACATAACGTTGGAATGATAACCTGAATTGGTGGTTAGGCGCTTCTTATGGTTATTGTTTATCCGGGTATTGTACGTTGATTTGTAAACTGGACCCGACGAATTGAAATCAGCGGTTTAAAAATCATCGTTAAAATAGCCGGTCGAAGATTTGTCCACCTGTTCTGTCATCGTGCTGTCAAGAAGACTTTACGGTTTCTATCGTGCTGTATTTAAAAAATGTTGAGAATTCTAAATAAAAACGTGCAAAACAATGTAGCAAGTGGTTAGTAGGAATAGTTAATGTCAAAGGTGTGATTATTAAATTTATGTTTAATTTTTAAGCTAGCATCAGGCGTAACATGGATAATGTGATAGTAAGAAACGTTCGGAACAAGCAGGCCACCACTAACACGAAATATTACTGCTTGTACGACTATTATTTTTTGGGCTTATCTCGCTCTCATCTTGCCACACTTTATCACAAATCGAAAACTACTATTTCCTCGTGGATTACTACCTACGAACGAGATGGATCATTATCCAGATTAAAGAGGACAGCAGTGTACCATAAGTTTGATGAGACGAAGCAACAATGGATCCTGGATTTGTACAACAGACGACCTGTGCTTTATTTATACGAAGCACGCCAACTATTTGTCGAACATTTTGGTGTGTTTATCAGTGCTGCTTCCATATGCAACATTCTACATGCTTACGGCATGTCATGGAAAGCTTTGGAGAGAAGAGCTGTTCAAATTCGTCAGGAAGATGTTTTGCGATTCTCCAATGAACTGAAATGCTTTCAGTGGGATCTAGAGCAGCTGGTATTTTTGGATGAAGTTTCCTTTGACAACCGCCAAATGCTTCGAAATCGTGGATATGGACGTGTTGGACAAAGCCTTATTTACCGAGGTGAATTTCGACGCAAGCCACGCGTTTCATGTCTCTGCTTTTTGGTCAATCGGGAGTAATTGAATCTTTTGAAACGCAGGGTACTTTCAATAGAAAGAAATTTTTCGATAGTTGTTCTAAAATGGCTCTCCATAGTGGAAATGTTCATAAATATCCTGGAAAACACTCGGTCTGGATAATGGATGGGGCACGTATACATTGCGACAAGAATATTGTGATGTATTTAAGATCAATTGGTATTATTCCAATATTCTTGCCAGCTAACTGCCCCTTCTATAATCCAATCGAGGTTGTGTTCGGATTGGTGAAGCGTTTCTTGAAACGTAATCATAATCACAAATTCAGTTTGCTTGCTTAGTCAGCATGGTCGATGTCAGGCATGTCCGTAACAAGAGACGCCAGCTTCTTGCTGAATTCAGTTTCCTCCGGTGGTAAGGAATCTTGCATTGCATCCAACAATGAGCGGGAAGAACTCACCTGTGTCTTGAGACAGTGTAGTTCTCTTTGGATTTGATTCATACTCTCTGCCATTGAATCCGCTGTTGTACACAAGCCACTTACTGTTGCTAAAATTCCGTCTGCAATATTGTAAGCCACTTGTAATCCTTGACGCGTAACTTTAAGCTGATTTGCTTCAAAAATTGGAGCAGCATGAAACAAGTGGAGATACTCATCCGGCGGCGCTTCTCTCATCAACCTTGTACGTTGGTCTGCTGGTTGAGCAAGAACAAAATTTGCTCACCGTTCCCAAGATGAAAATAGTGCGGAGTGATGTGAGTGAATCTCTTTCAATTCATGGACACAGCCAAAAACTTCCTCCGTTGCTGGAGCTCCAGCTTTATCCTTGCGTTCTGGGTGCAGTAGTAGTTTGCTGGCCTTCTTCCACATGGCTAGCGTTGCAATGGAGGAGGAGTATTTGAAAACATGGACCTGAATATGTTTACCTCTCCAATGAGTTAGTAGCTTGTTGTTGTGCCGAATGTCCTCCATAGTATAAAATTTCTTATTTTTTTCGTGCTTCAACATCACAAATCTGTCCAAATCAATCTCATCTGGATTATTCTTAGCAGACCATCTGATTTGTTGTTCATTGTCACTATGCTCGACCACTATCTCCCGAGCAACATATCCCCTGGCTGTTTTTTTTTTTTTTAATGTCTTTATTAAGGAGACTTTCAGCCGTTGGCTGGCTCGTCTCCGAATACCCCAGAGGGGGGTATTCCTAGGCGAAAAGGGGGTTTACAGAGTTTTTAGAATGTACAGAGTTTTGGTTTTTGAAACTTATGTTTCCTGTCTCAGCTAGCTGTCAAATTTTCATTTCAAAGGCTGTCTAAAGGACCCCGGTAGAGCCCCACCGGCAGAGGCTGCCAGGTGAACCTGGCAGCTGCTATCGGCAGGGGTTGCCGGGCCTGCTATCAAAATAGTATTTTTCGTGTTATAGTGACTAAATTCAGGACCCCGGTAGAGCCCCACCGGCAGAAACTGCCAGGTGACCCTGGCAGCCGCTGCCGGCAGGGTTGCCGGGCCTGCTATCAATATCGTATTTTAAATATTTTTGTAGATTCCTGCTTCCTTCGTAAAGCAGATGAGTTGGATTTCTGCTACCGGGTCGTTTTGGAGGACGTCCCGAATGTTGTCGGCCAGACCGTACAACTCCCGTGATCCGTGGAAACACGGGCAGTTGATAAGGATGTGCTCAACCGTCATCGTTGTTCGGCACGCGTCGCATCTCCTCCGGAAGCCTCCACCGCTGCTGCTTCCCATGTTGTGAGTAATCCGGGTGTGACCGGTTCGAAGTCTGGAGAGTATTCTCTGTTCCGCGTAACTTTTGGTGTCCGTCCATGGGGCCGTTTCCCCTTTGACCTTTCTAATGAAAAGCTCTTGGTTGCTGTTCCATTCGTTGCCCCATGCTGACCTGATGGTAGATTTTATCCAGACTTTCAGGTCTTGTCTGGGGACCGACTTGTGGGCAAGACGGCCGCTTCGTCCGGTGGCCGCGAGGTGGTCGGCTTTAATGTTACCGGCGATTCCGCAGTGGCCCGGTATCCACATGAACCCTGGCTGCTTCCCAGATGCACGTCAACAAACTTGACACAGAATTCCCGTACATGTCCTTTGAAGTAACCGGATCCGCCAAATGCTGTGATCTGAACAACCGAACGTAAAACACACCGATGAAATGAAATTTCTTGTTCTTGAACTGACCAACAGGAACATTGACAGTCATATTCAGCAGAGATCCATCGTTTTCCTTTTGGTGAGTTCATGAGGAACCACTTTTGTTCGACTCGATTGTGGCTTGCTGGTCCTCAATATTATCTTCACAGCTATCTTCAAAACCGGTGCCAGACAGATTACTCAGGTCAAGAAATTCAATCTCCGCGAATGGGCCCGGATCTTGGTCAGAATACACCTTTCTCTTCTTCGAACCTGTTGGTTCACTGCTTTAACCTTCCATGTCAGAGGTTTCCATGCTGAAAAGTAAAATATTGAGAGTTTTTATAATCTTTGTGCTCACATCTTAAAGCAAAAAATCATTTAACTTACGTGCAATCAGCAGCAATCTTTTGTAGGTTCGAGATTTAAATTCGTTAATGCTAGGTTGTTACATTTTTTTGTTTTTGTTTTGGTTTCAATTGAAAGGGATGATTCATGAGTAACTCTGATCGTGAATGAATCACCCCCACGTAAAGAAAACTGGCAAAAAATAACCGGTAGAATCCAATGTTGGGCTGAATTCACAATAGTGAGTGGCCTAAAAGAATTTGCCGCTCGATTTGTGGTTTTTTTTTTTCGAGATTGACCAAATGCGAAAACCGCGCGATCATGAAAGTGACAGTAAACATAAACACACTAAAACAAATTAGAGTAAACAGATAATTCTAACTCATCCCAGATTATCGAAGAATAGTGGATGAAATCGGATGATATCGGCAGGCGCGTGTTATTATTCATTATGAGTCAAGTTTGTCGAAAAATTCTGAATCATTTAGCAAATTTTAGTTAAATCTGTTAAATGAAATGTAAAATGGATTACTTTCGTTCCCCTTGATTGTTTCCGATGTATGAAGCTTTGTTAGAGCTTCTTTATTGTTTTCGATTCTTTTCTGGATTCCTCTGGATGTGTCAACCGTTTTTTCCGAAAGTTTGTTTAAATTTTTTCCTGAAGTTTCTCAATATTTGTTTTGGACGACATCCGGGATGTTGTTTCGACTTTTCTTAGAACTCTGTTCAAACTTCCTCCAGAAGAGCTTCTTAATTATTTCTCTGGAATTTTTTTTCGATTTCCTGCACAAGCAAATTCAAACAATTTTTCCGTGTTTTTTTCTCACAAGTTTTAATTTTCGCCTTCAAAAACGGAAAAAAATATAAAATTAATTAATATAGTTAATACCGATAGATACCGATTTTTTTAAACATTTAATACCGATAAGTAACTGTTAGAAAAAAATCTGGCACCGCTACCATCTCTAGGAAAATTCCAGAACAGTGACAAGGCCTATACCAACAGCAGCGTTTGACAGTAGGCAGCATGTCCCGGGCTCAAATCGTTTATTTTGCTGTGCTGGGCCCGCTGTCACGGTATAACATGTTGCATACGCGCCTGCCACTGGGCTGGAAAATTCAATATCGGCTCCATCTAATTACTAGGTCTGTCTGTCTTATCTGTGACCCGTTCTTGAAAATAAAGAATTTTCATGCCAATTGAAATTTATACGAGTCTGGTTCACCAAACGTCACTTTTTTAGAACTAAACAAGCCATCACTCACACAACACTACACTTTAGATCCCTTAACCAAACTTACTCGTTGAGCGCCGGACAGGATGATTGATGCGTTGTTTGGTTAAATCAATTATAATTCAACACGACGTTGGTTTGACATCGAGTTGCAGCCAAAAGTTCAACTCACACAATGCTCTCATCTAGAGCATAAAATTATCTAACCCAGAGTGCGGCTTTTCTACAGCTCACACAAACACATCACAGCCATCTTCGTTTCAGTCGCCGTTGTCGTCGTCGTCGTAGCATCGTGTAAAGGGGAGACGAAGAGCAAGAGAGTTTCGCGTTTCACCGCGCTGAGGTACTGAGTGTGTTTTAGCGTTCACTAGCCAAGAAAAAGGCGAAATTTGTGCCCAAAAGTTCGGAAAACGGTGCAAATTATATACGAATATCGCGCTCGGAAGTTCCGAAAACCGTTTAAAGTAGCAAATCACCACGGAAAGACTGTTTTACCAGAGGAAAAGTTGGTAAGTTTTCCCAGTGGATTCGAGGCCGTAGAAGTGGTGCTGGTACGAATAGATGATAGATTTTCTACCGCTGATGGGGGCAGAAAAAGGAAAAAAAAAGCTCACTCCACCGCCGTCGAAAAATTTCGTTTGAAAAATATTTAAGAATCTGGGACTTATTATGTTTGTTTTCGGCAGGAAGTACGTCGATTTGTTTGGAAACAGTGAGCTACTATTATGTCCGGAATTGCGATCGCGCGTCTCGGCGAGGAACGAAAAGCATGGCGTAAAGATCATCCCTTTGTAAGTTGCGATATTTTCTTTTTCTTTTGTTCTTGTTGCTGGTCTTGTTTGGAGGACTGCTGCTGTTACTGGTCTAGTGACGAAAAGGCAACAGCGGCGCAGTGTGTGTATTGTGCAAAGCAAAACCGTCACCCTGGTTGATGATGTTGCTGTGCCTAGTGCGGCACACTGGCATGCGCAGGTTTTTCGTGATGGGAGGTGATTGTCGCACAACTTTGAAACATTAATCGGAAAGGACCTTTTCCAAGAAACCTAACCCCAATCTTTTCGTTGTTCTTGATTGTTTTTTTTAGGGATTCGTTGCGCGTCCTGTGAAGAACGCTGACGGCACACTCAATCTCATGACGTGGGAATGTGCGATTCCCGGCAAGAAGGGAGTGAGTAACTCAGAATATTTGAACCATTCCTAAATTCTAATCTAATTCCTATGTTTTCCGCCAGACCCCATGGGAGGGCGGTCTGTACAAGCTGCGAATGATCTTCAAGGATGACTACCCAACCAGCCCGCCCAAGTGCAAGTTCGAACCACCACTGTTCCATCCGAACGTGTATCCGTCGGGCACCGTGTGCCTCTCACTGCTGGACGAAGAGAAGGACTGGCGCCCGGCGATTACGATCAAACAGATTCTCCTCGGTATTCAGGATCTGCTGAACGAACCGAACATCAAAGATCCAGCGCAGGCGGAAGCTTACACTATCTACTGGTAAGTACTCGGACTCAATTTCACACCACTCTTCAAATTGCTAACGCGCGTTTGTCTTGAATCTAACGTCAACAGTCAAAATCGTCTGGAATACGAAAAACGTGTCCGAGCACAGGCCAGGGCCATGGCTGCCACCGAGTAAGTTTACATAAGCTAGTGACGAACTGAGACAGTAAGAAAATCAACTAAATTATAAACAAACCATAAGCTGATCGGGTAGTACAAGTAGGAGGTGGAATCATTGCTATACCGGTCGGAACGCCGTGTCCGAGGAAAGGGTACACACATGCAGGAAGAAAACAGACGGGGTGTCCTTTACTTTAAGCAAACTACAGCAACAAATTGAATACAAAAACAACCATCTAATATTATATATGATAATCGTTCCCCTTTTCAAGACGCAAAACCCAGAAAAGAACAAGCAAGATAAATTTATTCAAAGCATAGTTCTAAGCCACTTTTTTAATTACTTAGATTTGAAAAGAAAAGATAAGAAGGATCAATAAAAAAAATGCAAGCCGAAAAACCCAATAGGGATGGATTCATTATCTCATCAACTCGCCTAGAGTAGAAAAGCTTCGATTTGGTTGAATTTATTTCTGTAGTTGTGAAAGGCCCTTTTTCAAAGATGACCGCGGATTGTATGAATTAGGTAGCACAGGATGAAAGAATCGTTGAAACCTTCTAAGGAGTCGCATGTGATCTCGATTAAGAAAAGCATTAGCCAAGTTATTCTTATTTAAAGTTTGACACCAGTAGAAGACTCATATCAATCTTCCTAGTGCTATAAGGGTCTTTTTTGACCGAGCGTGACTTTAAAAATGCTGCTCCTTGGTGTCAGAAGCTTTCAGCGACCTCTAGGAGTGGTACTACAGAAAAAGTGCGCGGGTCAAAATAGACGCAGACTGCAACTCGCTCCCAACATTGAATGGCAGATTGAATCAATGTTTGAACCGATTCTTGATCTATTGGCCTCAAGTGAAAGATAAAGGTTCCTAGAATAACACCTTGTCCAGGATTTCTCCATTTTCGCCATTTAGGTTACCTAGCACTGGTTCCGATAGGGCACAAAACGGACACTTCCAAAACGACTCAAAATTTATGAATTTTCATCCAGAAGTAAATAGACATCATGCCATGGACCAACAGATGAATCTAGTTACATCCGTACGCACAGAACCGTTCTTAACGCACGGCACATATTTTGTTTAAATTTTCTTTTGAATCTTTGATCGTCAATTCAGACATTTGGCATAATGGTCGATTGGTATTATATTATAATAATCGTTGATTGAAAATATCAGTGAAGATTCAAATGGTGCGAAGTCACTCGAAATGGTTGTCAAAAAAAAAATCTAACGATCAGGACCGTGTTCAGGCTTACGTGTCTTAAACAGATTCATTCGAAAGATAAAGTATTAGGCTCAACACTTAAATTTTATCCTTAAATTAAATTGTAAAGAAATAAAACATGTATCTTGTTAAAAGCTCGTCAAGTTTAATCATACCAAATGATTTTTTTTTTTTTGTAAAATTGTATCGTTTATTTCAATGTTCTTAAAAGATTATTTACAAAATAATTTAGCTTTCACTCCAGACAGCAGAGCAGTATTCCAACGTAGATCGTACGAGAGAGCAATAGAGCGATTTTAAGCAGTAAATGTCCGTGAAGTTCTTAGTAATCTTGAAGACAAAGCCGACGACATACGATATATGGTGTGAGTATGTCAGCTTTGAGTCTAGAAAAACGCCTAAGTCTTTCACGCAGTGCACCCGTTCGATAGTCGTGCCTAGTAGTTTGTAGTTGAAAATAATCGGTTGTTTCTTGCGTGAGAAAGTAATAACTGTACACTTAGCTGGGTTGACCACCAGTCGGTTTAGACTACACCAGTCAGCAAAGATGTCAATCTGATTTTGGAGAGAACGGCAGTCGGCGAGTGAGCGGATGCGCAGAAAAACTTTCAGATCGTCTGCAAACGATAATCGTGGCACTGTGATAACATGGTGAACGTCGTCGAAGTAGAGGAGAAATACCAATGGTCCCAGATGGCTGCCCTGAGGTATACCGGACTTTGCGCAGAAGCTAGCTGAGCGACAAGTACCCAAAGTTACTGTCAATTGGCGCTCCGTGAGGTATGAACGAAACCATCTCAAAAGATTTCCACCGATCCCTAGCCTATCAAGCTTAGCGATCGCAATTTCGTGGTTCAGCTTATCGAAGGCTGCCGTAAGATCTGTGTAGATAACGTCCGTTTGGGTCGGAGCAATCAAACTGTCTGTGATGTAAGACGTTAGGCACAGCATGTTCGTAGTTGTGGAACGCCCAGTTATGAATTCGTGTTGATCTGTACTTAGATATTGCTTGCAATGCGCATTTAGGGACTCTATGACAACCAATTCAAAAAGTTTTGATACAGCACTCAGCGGCGTGATTCCCCGGAAGATGTTTACGTCGCGTTTGCTTCCCTTTTTATGAACAGGAAACATATCCGCTGTCTTCCAGCAATACGGAAAGATGCCACTGGAAAGAGAGAGCTGGAATATGCGGCGCAGTGGATCTAAAAGACAAGTGATGTTCTTTTTAAGAATAATCGACGGAACACCATCGGGTCCAGCCTTAGTTGAAGTCTTAAGTTTAGATGCAGCTCTAGAAATCGTATCTGTAGTGGCTTCGACCATGCTGAGCGTTTGGTTGATCAAAGGAACATTACTGGCCGCGGAAGTAATGATATTAGCGGAGAGTTGCTCGGCTTCAAACACACTAGCAAATTTGGCTGAGAACAGGTTGCAAATGTCTTGTTGATTTCCAGCAGTTTCAGCATTAAAAATCATGGAAGAGGGTAAGCCGACTTCCCTGCGTTGCTCATTTACGAAGTTCCAGAAGGATTTCGGGTGTGATTTTAGCCGCCGTTGAATCCTCCTTTGATAGCGTTGAAAACAGAGACGACTTAACCGCTTAAAGGGTGTCCACGATGAAATTGCCACACTATGAAATTGCTCTAACTTTTTAACCGTTGGGTAGAATTTAATGAAAATTTGGGTGGATTTAGTTCATAGTGCATTATTTACATCCTGCAAGTTTGAAAGTCCTGTGATCAAAACTCGCGGAAATGGAGTCGAAAGAACAGCTCGTGCGTGATAAAATCTTGCGCATTCATCACGAGAACAAGGATCTCTCGCATCGTTCCATCGCTAAAACGTTGGGAATCGCGAATTCCACGGTGTCGCGAGTGATTAAGCGGTTCGAGGAACGGTTGACCACCGACCGGAAGCCCAGAAGTGAAGGAAAAAGTATTCCGTACAACACCAAAAATCACAATCGCGTAGTTGGGGCCTTCAACCGAAATCCGAACGCCTCCGTTAGGGATGTGGCTAAGAAGTTGCACCTAAGCCGAAGTTTTGTCCAGAAGGCCAAAACTAAGGCTGGGCTTCGAACGTTCAAGGTACAAAAGGCCCCTAATCGCGACGAGAAGCAGAACAAGTCCGCCAAAACCCGTGCCAGGAAGTTGTACCTCAACATGCTGACGAAAGTTGAATGCTGCATCTTGGACGACGAAACATATATGAAGGCCGACTTAAAACAGATCCCCGGCAACCTGTTTTTCACGGCCAAGGATAAGTTCAGCGTTCCGGAGCATGTCCGCACTCAGAAGATGTCCAAATTTGCGAAGAAATTCCTGGTTTGGCAAGCCATCTGCACGTGCGGGAAGCGGAGTGCACCTTTCGTGACCCAGGACACGATGAACGGACAGGTGTACATAAAAGAGTGCCTCCAGAAGCGGCTGCTTCCTCTCCTGAAGGCCCACAACGTCCCAACAATCTTCTGGCCGGATTTGGCCTCATGCCACTACTCCAAGGACGTGCTGAAGTGGTATGCGGACAATAAGGTCAATTTCGTGCCGAAAATGTTCAACCCTCCCAACACTCCGGAGCTCTGCCCCATCGAGAAGTACTGGGCGATTATGAAGCAGCACCTTCTTAAACGACCTAAGGTAGTGAAGACAGTCGAGGAACTGAAGAAAGTATGGGTTTACATGCAAAAAACGGTTGATTCACAGGATGTGCAGAATCTTATGGCCGGGGTTAAGGCCAAGGTGCGGGCATTTGCGTATGGACTGTAAATAAAATAAGAGTAAAATGGTAAAATGAAGTTTAATAGTTATTTCTCAATCCCTGAAAATTTGATGGCAATCGGATGAAAACTCGAATTTTGCGAATCAATTTTGTGTGTGGCAATTTCATCGTGGACACCCTTTATACTCGTGGTTGAGTCTGACATAGTAGCATTTCAGTGGCAGTGTGCGGAGTTTAGTAAATCTTGTGAGAACAGCCTTCTTAGTTCTTTTCAACGAGCGAAGATCTTTCGTCATCCACGGGACGCGAGAGTCGATATGGATGATCTTTTTGGAAACGTGTCTGTCAATGACATATGCCAAGACGTGAGAAAAGGCTTGTGCAGCAATGTTGACGTCTACAGGATCCAGAATATGCTCCCAATCTAGATTAGACAGCACATGGACGATACTGCAATGGTCAGCTCTACGGAAGTCATATGACACAGCGTTTGGAGTGCTGGTGAAATCATGGACAATATTATTTTCGATCACGATAACTAAAGCAGGGTGATGATGCACTACCTTGACTAAAGGTTCGGGTGCCGTGGAGAGGAAAGGAGCTGTATCACGAGCACTCACAAAGCAGAGATCCAGGGTGCGGTTGTTTTCATTCAACATGCCATTGATTTGTGACAGAATTACGGTACTATAACTGTCCAGGAGCTGGATGGTTCCTACGTGGAAAGATGAACGCTCGTGATCAGGACAAAAGAAACCACTATGGGTTGGAGTCCATGCAATGTCCGGTAGGTTAAAATCGCCAAGAACAATAACTTCGTCGGAAGGGCCTGCTTTGTCTGAAGCGGCCAAGACGGATCGACAATGTGCGTCAATAAGCTCCAAGTCACGGGTTCGATCTGGATGAATTTACACTGCACAGAGAAGCAATTGACGATCACCAAGTTGAATAGCCACCCACATTTGTTCAACCCTGTTCCAGGAATCGTCCTCGATAACTTCTGCTTTCAGCTTGGAATTAACTGCGATAAGGACGCCTATTATTCGTGTTTCGATCGCAGCGAAATATTTCGTAGGCAGCACCAAAGACATAGTTTGAAATGGCTCGATAATTGAGCCATGTTTCGGTCAAAACTAAAATGTCGTAGCAGTGATCCATGACGGCCAGATGATAATCTTCCACGAGGCCGTTCATACCACCAACGTTCTGATAGTAAATCGTTATGTCCGACCTCCGCTGTTCGGGAACAACGGAAGGTTCAGCGTGTTGTTGCATTTGGGAGCTGGTAAATGTCACTTGACGGAGGAAGGATGTTCGAGTAGGGCCGTTGCCAATAACAGGAATGTGGAAGATCCCTTCTCCCATCTCAAACGCAGGGCCGGGACGACTGCTGGTTGCTGGCAGGAGGGGCTCGACTGCGATGAGTGGAATAGGGGCTTCCTCAGGGCGGACGGCAAGAATGCGTCCCGGAGTGCAGTTGACTGTGGTGGCTCCATGTTGCCGACTGGCAGATGTTTGAGGTGAGCTGAAGGCACTGGAATTATGATCATCATCAGGCAGTGAAAGTTCGCTAGTAAGTGTGTACTTGCCTAATATAGCAGGCTGGGAGACCCTCAATCCACATCTAAACTCAGGGCCAGGACGACTTGGATGAACGCTGGCTGCAATAGGCGCGACTGATTTAGAGGAACTGGGGACTCCCAAAATGCTTTCTACGTTGCGTCCTGGTTGAGAAGTAATTTGCCTCAATAGATTTTCAGAGGGCGCACCGAAAATTCGCTTTGGACCGGGGTCAGAATAACCTGAGTATGGGAGAACTCATCATGCAACGATAAACTTAAATCACAGAGGTACTTGCCTATGCAAGCATGGTGGAAGACCCCCTTTCCACCACCAACTACAGGGCCGAGACGACTATGTTGAACGAAGCCGGCGGTAGGCGGGACTGTGTTGGGGCGATCGGGGGCTTCCATCAGACTTTCTACGGTGCGTCTCGGGGGCATTGTTGATTCGTCAGATGAGGGGATTAAGGGGTGACTGTTATACTGGGTGTACCTAAAGGGGCTGGCATATCGTGAGGTGCTGGTGTCCCAAACGGTGTGCCCGTTGGAGAGCCACCCGGAATAGTCTCTGGAACAGCAGGGAGTGCTGGGATATCAGGAGGTAGCCACACATTGTTTTTCGCCTGAGTATCCTCGAATTCTCTGTATACAATCCCCTGTGGCCAAGTTTCAGGGTTCAAAGCGTTCTCTTTTAGTTTCATTGGAATGCCAACCTTGTAGGAGATGAAGTTCATCGATAGTGGGTCGGTGCCTCTAATGGGCATACTTCGGTTCTCGTGAAAAGGACAAAGGAAGTTGTTTACAAAAGTTGATAGGCCCTTTTCAAATGTTACGCGAGCATTATTCATGTGTTCATTGTTAGTAAACAGGGCCCCGCTGATGTGTAAATTTTTTTCAGTAGATGAACTCAAGTTCACCCGTGCACTCGTCTATTAGGTTCTGCAGCGTGACGTCACAAATGAACTCAGTGTTAAACGGCTGAACCTTTTTGACAGTTCAGTGGTACTGTTTACAAGCACTTAGTCGTTTTTTCGAAAAAAAATTTCTAAGGTTTCTGAATTTTAACTTGAAAATTGTCGAGGAACAGCGCGTTGCAAGGATGTTGCTCGTGAACATTGCAGAAATGCTGTGTACATCTCACTGCAGTCTGAAAAATTATCGAGAAAATCCACCCAAGAAAAAATCGACTAAGTCCACGTAAACAGTACCACTGAACTGTCATCAGATTGAGGTTAACCCCGACGGTGCAAAACCTAATTGACGAGTGCACGGATGGATTTGAGTTCACTCACTCGACAAAAAGTGACACAACAGCGGGGCCCTGTTTACTAAAAATGAACACATGAATAATACTCACGTAACATTTGAAACGGGTCTATCAACTTATGTACACAAAACTTGTTAAGCCTTTTTCGCGCGAACCGAATACGCTCACGCAAACTAACAACACCATCGGGCAGAGGAAATTCTCCCCTTCCCGAAATTGCTCTTGGTTTGCGTGGGCGTACTTCGGTTCTCGTGAAAAGGACCTAGCAAATTATTTACAAAAGTTGATAGGCCCTTTTCAAATGTTACGCGAGCATTATTCATGTGTTCATTTTTAGTAAACAGGGCCCCGCTGTTGTGTCACTTTTTGTCGAGTGAGTGAACTCAAATCCATCCGTGCACTCGTCAATTGGGTGTTTTAGTGGTATTGAGGTAAACATATATTCGTTGTCTGCATTAAAAATGAAACTAAAATCAAATTTTTTTTCAATTTGGTACACTGGAACTATTTTAAGTAAGTACGATTACATGAGCAAAAAATGTTTTAGCGACGGTGTTTTTCAGTGAGAAATATTTAATGTGCTATGTCTGTTTGTCTGTGGATTTAGTGTCAACGATCAAAAATTTAAATCTTGATTTAAAAAGCTTCCACAAAACGAAATGAATGTCTACGGGATCGATAAAAATATCATTGTGCTCAGATGATGTATAAAAATCGGTATATTTTTCAAAGTTAAACAACCCAATTTAGGGATGTTCTAGATAGAGCTGGAATTAGGGCGTAACAGCTTTTGCAAACAATGACTTCTATCGATGATTTCTAGGAATTCAAGGCACGCCCACGCAGACCAACCGAACCATCGGATAGGGGAAGTCTTTCCCTACCCGATGAGGATGTTGGTTTGCGTGGGTGAGCCTTGAATTTCTAGAAATCATCATTGTTAACAAAAGCTGTTAGGCCCTAATTCCAGCTCTATCTAGAGTTATAAAATTTTACCTCCGGATACATTTTTAACGTCCGCTACTGTAATGAGCTGCATGAACCATCGCCAAGGAGTGTTCATTCAGCAAACGCTTCAAAATCGAATGACCGAAAGGTCCACCCCTGCACGTGCACTAAGCGTCGCCTGTCAAAAAAATTGTTTTCGTTCGTGCGGCTACAAAAATATCAACAAACGCCTAACAATCTTCCGATTTTCCTAAATTAAAGCAATTAAAACCCGCAACAAAAGGCGACATTTCGTTGGTATATATTCCCTAGGAACCTGCCCGTTTTCTGGCGTTCCATTTTGGTGCAGCATAATGGAGAAAGCAGATAAAAGTACGCTGAAGCACAAAATTCTCTCGATCACCAAGCGCACCGAGTTGGGCTTTAAATGCATGGCAGCTCGAAAGTGCACCTACTCCCAACCGCTGAACCGATTCATGACCACAAGTTTCTGCCGGCATTTGAAAACATTCCACAACAATGTCTACAACGCACTGCTTCTGGGTAAAGTTGAGGAAAGTTGCCGCGCCGATCGGGACCAGGACGGCAAGAACCGGATGACGATGAAAACTAAAATTATGTCGGTTCTGAAGGTTACGGAAACCGATTACAAATGTGGCGTGACGGATCACTGCAATTACAAGCAGCCGCTGGACAAGTTGACGCCGGGAAATTTCGCCCGGCATATTGCTGCACTGCATCCGGAGGTATACAAGAAACTCGAGATGGGAAGACTCGACACGGAACATAAAAAGCCCCCGAAACAACCAAATCCGGTCTACGAGATAGTGTCGACAAAGGCGAACAGGTTTCGATTTATGTGTGGGCTAGTCCGGTTAGTTACGTGTCATGGGCTGTCGTACGATTGTGTTTCCTGGCAGGGAATGCAGGACATTATGGCACCACAGCTAGAGGGATTTAAAATGGCTATTGATGAGGATAAGATTCGGGTGTTTGTCGAACAAACGGCCCATCGAATGCAGAAGATGATTTGCGAGGACATGCGTGGACGGATGGTCTCTATGCAGCTGCACGGAATCATGGGGAAGAGTGGGCAGTACTTGGTGAGGGTCACCTGCTCTTATCTGAAGGATACTTATGTCTGCAAGCGAACGCTGGGTAGGATTGGCACTGAGATCGGAGAACTTACAGAACTTCCAACAGTAAAATGTCTTCTTTTGTAGGTATTATCGTACTGGATGAGACAAAGACTTGTGATGATCTCGAAGACAAAGTTAATAAAATTAAGGAGAAGTGTGGACTCGAGCAGTGGCAAATATATACCATTTCGATCGACTACGGGAGGATCGATCTGGTGCAGAGCACGTCGGACGAACAGGAACAGTGGCAGCAGGCCGAGGTGGACGAATCTAAGTTTATCGAAATATTGGGTCAGTATAATGCCTCGCTGAACGACGTGACGGTGCTCCAATGTGGTCGACATCTGCTCAGTATGGTGGCCACGGAGGCAACTCAAGACTTTGGGGATACCATTGAGGAAATTATCGAAATGGTGAAGAGTTTTCGCTATGACGAGTACAAGCTGTACTTCCAGACCTGGCAAGGTCGCTATCCGCCAATTCCGGATAAGAATAACTACGGCTTTGGAACGTACCTTATGATGAAGGCACTGAAGGACGAGCGGTTGTTCTTTGAACAGTTCACCACTCACTACCCGGGCTATGCATTGTATTTGCACTGGGACTTAATCGATGAGTTCGTAATGGCTTTCGAACCACTGTATGATTGTGCTGTCCGGATCGGGAACTGCGGTCTGAGTGATTTTCATCTGCAATGGCTTCTTGCATACGGTCGGATCCGCTGCATCGCTGTCAACCGATTCCGAGATAAGCTTCTCCAGGCAATGGAGACTCGTCAGAAAATGCTGGAAGAACTGGCACCGTACAAAGCTGCCCTGTACATGGATCCTCGGTTAAACTTCCGCGGTTCCAAACTGTTCGATCACAACAAGAGAGAAAAACTCATCACATTTCTCCAATCGATCTATACCATGTCGGAGGACACGTCCGTCGATCGCCAGCAAAACTGTCACACACCTTCGTCATCCACGATGCAAACATCGGGCGAGTTCAGCATGAATGCCATGCTGACGGAAATGCTCGGCGAAGGCTCGCCGGAATCGGCTATGGGAGATTTAATTCGGGAAATTCAACAACAGGAGCGATGCGATGCAGATGATGTGGAGTTCGACATCATCAAATATTGGGTTCAGAAGAAGATGCACGACAATCGGCTCTGGACCCTGGCGATGGTGGTCTTCTCACCGTTGGCTACACATTGCGATGATGCGGAGGACGATTTCAGCCAGTTGACCGGTGCGGTTTCTACGTCCGGTGCAAACAGCACGTTGGATGGCTCGCCGATGCAACAGGACGACAGCATCCTACCACCTGAACCTAATGATACTGAAGGTGATGCGTGGAACGCTCTGTTTGTGAAACAAAACCCAAATCTGTTGGAGAGGGCCGTCATGGAGGAGTTCTTCAAGGGAAGGCAGTTTGAACCGGAGCCGCTTTTGAAAAGTGAAGTGCAAGTTTGATTCTCTTTCTTTTGACTTTAGACACTTAAGGTGACGAATATGTATTAACTATTTTAACGTGTAAACATGTGAAGTCACGAGACTTTCGATTTATGTGAGAAATTCCTAAATATGTCGACTTATTAGCTCTTGATGTTTCCGCTGGCCAATATGGGACACGCCGGCGCCGGTGTTCGAATAATGTCGCTTGCAGTCGTAGTTGCAACGACTATCGGTCAACACGTACACAACTCGTCCCACTCTTTCGACAACTGTTCCAGGTCTACTTCGCGTATACGAGATCTTTGGGCTGAAGGACCTCATCCTGAACTTCTTCTGCTTGACCGTTGGCGGTACCGGCGGTGGACGTTCTGGTGCTGGACGTAGCAGTTCGAGACAGGTGTGTATGCGCCGCCCGAACATGATCTCCGACGGTGATAGACCTTCTGGCGCTGACCGGTTTGGTGTACTTTGGTAGGCCAGTAAGACCTTATCCAAGGCTTCATCGGTAGAATCGGAGGACAGGTTAGGTAGATTTATCAGAAAATAAATTGATTTATAATAAATCCTTTGCTTCAGTGCTCCTTTCTCAGCTGTACGAGAACATGATATGAGTATTGTTCGCCTTTCAGCACGAACCAGATGGTCGGCTTACGAGATGTGTGCAAGTGACGAGAGTGTAGAAGCGTTCCAAGGTTCCACTATCAAGCTGAACGTTGCATTGCATGACCTGAGAAATTCCATGCATGATACATATAAGAGATAGAGAAGGAGTATAGATTGGTACGAGACACGGCTTCCTCCAGCTCATGCCACAATTTATCCGAAGCGAGTCAGGTTTTGGACGTACGTAGACGAGAACGGACGTACTCTACGATTGTTCTCATTCAGAATAAAGTTCTGAAAGGATCGGTTGGTTGCTGAAATGAACGGCGATACGTCACTTCTCTCCTCTTCAAGCTTCTTGATCGCCCGGTTGAACGTGTCTACGAATCGTTCCGTTTGGCCGTTCGATTGTGGGTGGAATGGCGCAGTTGTTATGTGATCGATTCCGTCCGTAGAGCAAAACTGGACGAACTCTGAGTTTGTAAATTGGGTGCTGTTATCCGACACCAACGTTTCCGACATCCCCAGGCGTGCGAAGATACTGCAGAGGATGCTGATCGTTGCAGAAAACAAATGCACGGCAAGCAAGTAGTAGTCACCGTCGATGGGGCCTGCGTAGTCCACTAAGCTAAGGACGTCTACGCTTGGGCAAGAGTATAGGGGTCGCTGCGGCTGGTGACTTTGCTGTCAAGGCGCATGGTTAACACGCCTTCACGTAATCGGCGATTTCGCTGTCGAGCGATGACTAATAGAAGTAGCTGTGAGATAGTGCCTTCATCTGCAGGACTCGGGAGAGTCCCCGGTGGCATTCGAGGCATCGCTTGTGTAGGGAACCCGGAAAAATAAGCCTTTTGCCGAACAGAATGCAGCCCTGTTCCGTGGTTAGGGATTCACGGCGATGGTGGAAACGAAGAAGTTCTCAATCAGCTTCACTGGCCAGTCTTTCTGGGGGTAGCAGTGGACTTTTTTGAGCACCGGATCCTACTTGGTGCTTTGATGTACTGTGTTAAAACTCAAAGGAAACACGTCAAAATACTCACATACTACAGATCTTATGTCACTCTCCAAGGAGACGGAAGCGATCACGAAGTCTTCGTCGGGTTTCGCATGGTGGTTGATGAGACGAGAGAGGATGTCGACGTGACCGAATTTATCCGTGGCCATGTACTCCATGACGAAGTCGTACATCAACAGCGTTGCAGATGCTTGGCAGTATACACCGGGATGCTCTTCTTGCTCCCGAAGATGCGTAGTAGTGGTTCATGGTTGTTTTGCATGAGAAACTTACGTCCGAATATCATGCGGTGGGACTTGGTTACCGCATAGATGATGGTCCGTTTGACTATAGTTACGCTCGGCCGGTGAAAAAGGCTCTCGAAACATGCCGGATGGATGACTTTGATTGTACCATCGGAAACACTGTGACCATCCATTGATGACGCATCGGCCGAACCGAGGTTCTCCTGCTTGGGATTGTGATGGGTCAAGAGCAAGTCCGATGACAAAATGGTTTTGAACCGGTCGAACGCCCTCTGACACTGCGCCGTCCAAGCGAATTAGACTCCCGTTTTCAGCAGTTTGTCCAGTGGATAACGCAGAGTTCGCATATTCGATTCGATTTTGGCTGAATTGGGACGAACTCCATGGTGGTCGAGTAAGTTTCCGAGATATTTTATCTGCTGACGTCCGAAATAGCACTTTTCGAGTCGGACTGAGAACCCGAACTCTTGCAGACGCTGGAAAAGTGCGTTCAGGTTCTGCCAATACTGTTCCTCATCTTCTCCACCGTCTACGATGTCATCGATGTTACCTCAAGTTTGCTTGGGACCCACCAACATGGTGTCAACGAGTTGCTAGAACGCTCCCGGTGCAGCTTTTACTCCGGGTGCCAGTCGGTTGACTTTGTAGATATCCCGGGGGGTGAGCTTACTCGTTGGTTAGTCAACTTTAAGCTGCAGGTACGATGCCGACATTTCTTACGGTAACGGCAAAGGGTATTGGCATCGTTCAAGCCCAGCGCAAATCCGGATGCTACCGTTTGACTTCCGAGTAGTCGATTGGCGTGATGATCCCTAGGTTCGAGAGGGTCCAGTTCATCATCGACAGTCTGGTACATGGCGTACGCTACGGGAAATTTTGGGCCAAACGCTGGCGTTTGTCCTGGTTTGAGGTCGAGCTTCACTGTTGCTTTAGTGCACCGTCCGAGATTGGAGCTGAATACTTGCGGATCGGCGGCCTTGAGCCGCTCGATAATGGAGGAAGAGGTGTTGTTTACCTGTCAACAGAAAACGTTAATCGGAACGGATTCAAGCTGGAATGCTTCCACCAAATCCAAGGATGGGCAGATCTTGCTTGACGACGTAGATCGATCCCACTTGCGTTACGTCATTGACGGTGATCGAGCAGTCGAACTGTTGGCACAACCATGCCAGCAACGAATAAAGTTAATGATTTGAATTACTAGATTTGATACAGTGTACCTTACAGCACACGACCCCATGTAACTGACAGTAAAAATAAAGTTTTAGTTCCTACTCGTTTCTTCCAGACAACAGACGTTGTAGCATTACTTTCTCGCTGCGCATAATCCTCCGACAGGTTATGGGCCTGTGCGTGATAGAGAGTGGAAGAACAAAAGGAAAATTCAACGCCATTTTGAGATTCCTTGGTTTTTTTTTCTTTCGCGAACATTGTTCGGTTTTTCGCAAAGTTTCGAAAGTTTTCGCGCGGAAATGGATGGCAATCGGTTCAACATCCAACAATTGAACGATTTCAATTATCCCACCTGGAAATTTAAGGTGGAATTGCTCCTCACTCGAGAGGATTTGTGGCGGTGCGTTGACCCCGGCGTCAAGAAGCAAGGAGAAACCGACGACGCCTGGAACGCGTTGGACTCCAAGGCTCGGTCCACCATCGGCCTCCTGATCTCGGATAACCAACACGGGCTGATCCGTAAGGTCAAGACAGCGAAGGCAGCATGGGACGAGATAAAGAAGCACCACGAAACAGCAACCCTAACCTCAAAAGTTTCGCTTCTGAAGCAGATCTGCGATAAACGTTTCGCGGATGGTGAAAATATGGCGGAGCACCTCTTTGCCATGGAGGATTTGTTCGAGAGGTTGAAGAATGCGGGACAAGAATTGGAGACAAATCTTCAGGTCGCGATGGTCTTGAGAAGTCTGCCGAGTTCCTACGTCACGCTGACGACCGCCCTAGAGAGCCGGTCTGACACTGACCTCACCCTCGAACTCGTCAAACGGAAGCTGCTGGACGAGGCCGTAAAACATCAAGGATCATCCGGAGATTTGGTGCTGAAAGTCGGAACTGTGCACGGTCGGAACAACAAGAAGAAACCTCTAATTTGCCACCGGTGCAAAAAGGAGGGCCATAAGCAGTTTGAGTGCCCGCAGCGCGGTCGTGATTCGGACGGCGACCCGAAGCCGAAAGGAAAACAACAGAAGAAAAAGGAAGATTGTGTTTCGTTCGCGTTCGTCGCCGGCGCGTGTGAAAGTTCTAACGGTTCGAAGCCGTGGGTAGTGGACTCGGATGCAACGAGCCACACAGTTGCCGATCGGAGTTTTTTCGGTGAATTGAAAAGTTGTGACATTAAATCTGTGACGCTTGCCGACGGAAAATTCGCGAAAGTGGAAGGCCAGGGGTGTGGCACGATTGACTGTTGTGATGAAAATGGACTACCGAGAAAAATGAACATAAGTGTCGCGCTTTACACACCCGGTCTTGCCATGAACTTGTTGTCGGTGCCGGCAATAGTGGAGCAGAACGCCGAAGTGATTTTTCGTGCCCGTGGGTGCCGAATCTTGCGTGACGGGACGACGGTAGCCGCGGCAACGTTGAAGCGTGGGCTGTACCAGCTGAAGCAACCGGAGGAGGTCGTGTTGTCGGCGAGCAGCCACCACAACAAAGACTGCCAGCACGTCTGGCACAGACGGTTCGGGCACAGAGACCCGACCGCGATCATCCGGATGAAGAAGGAAGACTTGGTAAGCGGTTTGAAAGTGTTTGAGTGCGGCATCGAAGAGCCATGTGATTGTTGCCTGAAAGGGAAGAGCTCCCGCGCTCCGTTCCCGAAGGAGTCATCATCGAGCACGAAAGCGACGATGGACCTGGTGCACACCGACGTGTGCGGCCCGGTCGAAGTGCCATCCGTCCGCGGGTAGCGTTACTTCATGACTGTGATCGACGATCACTCCCGCTACTGCGCGCTGTACCTTCTGAAACACAAGTCAGAGGTGGCAGCCAAAATCCGGGAGTACGTGGCGCTAGCGCAGAACCGCTTCGGCCGGAAGCCCTAAATTATTCGCTCGGATCAAGGCGGAGAATATACCGGAGAAACGCTACGTGATTTCTACAGAAAGGAGGGAATACAGCCGCAGTTTACGGCGGGCTAAAGCCCGCAGCAAAACGGAGCAGCGGAACGTAAGAACCGCTACCTCGTGGAGATGGTTCGATGCCTTTTGTTTGACTCCAACCTGCCACAGTGCTATTGGGCGGAGGCATTGAACACTTCCGTGTATCTCCAGAACATACACCCGACGAAGGCCGTCAAGTCATCACCGTTTGAACTGTGGCACGGAACCAAACCGGACGTGGAAAACCTGAAAGTATTCGGGTGCAGTGCGTGGGTTCACGTTCCGAAAGAAAAGCGGAAGAAACTCACGACCACTGCGAAGGAGCTCGTCTTCGTAGGGTACTCACTAGAGCACAAAGCCTACAGGTTCCTAGACAAATCTACGCGAAAAGTGATAGTGAGCCGTGACGTCAGGTTCATCGAAAGTGCTACGGAAGTGCCTGCCGAGGTTGGTCATAAGAAGAAGAAGAAGCCAATCGTGAAGCCGGCCCCTGTCTGCAGCCAGGAGGAGATAATAGTGTTTGACTCGGTGCTGAAGAAAATCGAGCCCGTTGCCGAATCCGTAGCGGAAGAAGATGAAGATGACAAGTTTGGTACTGCGGAGTCCGAAGCAGATTTTGATGGTTTCAGTGACGTCGATCCTGTGCGCGGTATTGAAGAAGCCAACGATCAGGAAGACAGCGAACGCGAACCCAGAAGATCCGAACGGGCCAATAAAGGTATCCCGCCGGAACGGTTCGACGAGATGACCAGCGTGACGAAGCATTTTGTGAAGGAACCACGAACGTACGAGGAAGCGGTCCAACGCCCCGAAAAGGCTGTCTGGCAGACAGCGATGGAGGAGGAGATCGGCGCACTCGCCGAGAATCAGACCTGGGAACTGGTGCAACTGCCTCCTGGAAGAAAAGCGATCGGCTGCAAGTGGACGTTCAAGGAAAAGGAGGACGAGACCGGTCAAGTTGTACGACACAAGGCAAGGCTGGTGGCACGACGAGGTGTTCGCACCAGTAGTGAAGCAAACAACCCTCAGGACGCTACTAACGATCGCGAGTCGAGACGGCATGATGGCAAACACCTGGACATCAAGTGCGCCTACCTTTATGCTGACCTCGAAGAAGATATCTTTATGAAGCAGCCCCCAGGATTCCAATCGGACGGCAATTTGGTGTGCCACTTGAAGCGTTGCCTCTACGGCTTGAAACAGTCGGCGAGGATTTGGAATTCGAAAATCGACGGCATCTTCAAGCAGATGGGTTTCGAGCCCGGCAAGGCAGACTCGTGCCTTTACGTGAAAAAAGAACAAGGACGGGAAAAGGTGCTTCATCGTGATTTACGTGGACGATATGGTCGTCTTCTGCCACTCGGAAAAGGAGTTCGAGCAAATTCGGACCGCCCTGGAGACACATTTCAAGCTGTATTCTCTGGGAGATCTGCGTCAATTTCTCGGAATCCACATCGAAAAGGTCGACGGGCACTACACCATGAACCAAGGAAACTACATCGAGAAGCTGCTCGGAAGGTTCGGACACGGGGACGCTAAGCCGTCGAAGATACCGCTGGACCCAGGCTACATAAAACAAACGGAGGAGACAGCCCTGCCAACGAACACGTCCTATCGTTCGCTGGTGGGCAGTTTGTTATATGTCGCGGTCAATACCAGGCCGGACATCAGCATCGGGACTTCGCTACTGTGCAGGAAGGTGTCAAATCCGACAGATCGCGACTGGACAGAAGCTAAACGTACGCTGAGGTACCTCAAGGGGACCAAGAACTTCCGTCTGCACCTGGGTGGTGGAGCCGAAGGTCTCGAGTGCTTCGTCGATGCGGATTGGGCTGGAAATGAAGGCGATCGGAAGTCGAATTCCGGTCAGGTCATCAAGTTCGGCGGTGGCGTAGTGAGCTGGGCCACGCGGAAGCAAAATTGCGTCGCCCTGTCGTCCACCGAGGCCGAGTTTGTGGCCCTATCGGAAGGCTGGCAGGAATTAATATGGATGAAGAAGCTTCTCAAGGATCTTGCAGAAGACAGCTCGGACCCCATACTCGTGTGGGAGGACAATCAGTCCTGTATAAAAATGGTGGAGTCGGACCGCATGGAGCGCCGGTCCAAACACATCGATACAAAACACGAGTTCACGAAGGATCTACGCCAACGGGGAGTCATTGATCTTCGTTATCTACCAACGGATCAAATGGTTGCGGACATCATGACCAAGCCGCTGGACAGGAACAAGCTGGAGCGGCACCGTGAGTCACTCGGTGTCATGTAAACTTCTATGCGTTGAGGAGGAGTGTTGGCACAACCATGCCAGCAACGAATAAAGTTAATGATTTGAATTACTAGATTTGATACAGTGTACCTTACAGCACACGACCCCATGTAACTGACAGTAAAAATAAAGTTTTAGTTCCTACTCGTTTCTTCCAGACAACAGACGTTGTAGCATTACTCTCTCGCTGCGCATAATCCTCCGACACGAACTCCGAAAGTAGCTTCAGACGATCTCCCAATGCGGTTTTTGCGTTCACTGACGGTGGTCTGGTTGGGTTGGTGGTTTTCCTAACTGCTTCCAGGTCTGTCAATGATGGCCCAGCAGAAAAGGTTTTATCCGTGTAGAAAGCGTTTTGTGCTCATAATATTACAATACTTCTCCCTCAAACAACACCATGATGACGTCATGCTCGTTTGGCTACACTAACTGACAGTTCGTTTGGCTACATTATACTTTGCCTCCGCTTATCTATGGAATCTATAGTATCTATACTGAAGATGTACTCATAGCACCGACAAACCGACATGAAACTTAAACTTAACTCTTGATCGAGAATCCATAACGGCCGATTCAAATCTAGATAAACATTTCACAAGGTCCTATCTGCATTGATCGATTCTCTTCATAGACTTTCTCTTTCGTCAATAACTCAGCTGCAAAACCTTTCTCTGCTGTATTTGACGTTTTGGACGCTAGATAAGAACCTCCGTTGATTCCCGGATGTGTACAGAAGAGGTATGCAATGTCCCGTTCAACAGTAAGAATGTCCAGCGACAACCCGGTAAAAATGGCTCTCAATAATGATCCGAGTAAGGTGAATCCAATGAGCTGGATTACCGAGGTGAAGCAGTCGGTTAAGTTGTGTGAGTAAAACCCCTGTACGATACAAGCAATTAGTGACGTAACTAATTGCGTTTACGTTGATTTTTTGGATTACTAATACAACCATATTTCACGATCTGCTTCACCTCTCTCTATATCTCATTGAGGTGAATCGACCAGGTGGGTGGACAGAGCGTGGCTGGTGACCGGCAGTCATGGATCGAGTGGAATGGAGACGACTTCTATGTACAGCAGTCGTCACCCAGGCCTTAAAAAGAATGGTAAGGTCAAAATCAAATGTATGTAGTATACATGCCGAAAGAGTGACCCTAGCAAATAACCCGGAGGAGGTCTCGGAGAAGGTAGTGAAATTCGCAGAACTGAAAGTGATTGGCTTAGGACTGTGTCCAGTGTGAGGCAAGGATGTATACCATCACCGCTACTATTCCTTACCGTAATCGACGAGATCATGGCGGATGCAATTGAACGTGTACCGTGACAGCCTATCAATATGGAGCACCTCAGCGACTTCGATTTGGCGCTCTCCTCTGCAGCGGGTCTCACCATCAACGCCAACACGACCAAATCGTTGGATGTCAACACGGACAACCCTTCCAACTTAACGGTAGCGGGGCAAGCAGTGGAGAAAGTCGGAAGTTTCCAATATCTTGGCAGACAGATATCGTCAGACGGTGGAACCAAGAGCGACATATGTAGATGTTCGAATCAAGAAGGCTAAGGCTGCTTTTGCGAGTTTACAAAATGTGCCTGCTGTCCTCACAATAGGATCTCAAAGCTGAGCTTTATCGTCGATGTCATAAGAAACCGATATCAACAGTAATTCGAGATCGTAAGTGCAGGTGGGTCGGCCACACACTACGAAGGGGCGGAAATCAAATCTGCAATAGCGTTGGACCCTCAACAAGGATATAAAGGATGTCGACAGGAATCTGACCTAAGGGGTCAATGAAAAAGCGATGGAAATCTTTCACGTTAGTCCTATGCACCACTAGGGGGGTAAGTAAGTAATTAAGTAAGCAGTTTCAATTCGTATTGCTGGTTCTTCGTTGAGGAGTTGAACATAGCGTCTGAATGCTCCAAGGGGCTTTCTTTCCACAGGTTTGGACGACACCTTTTGCACACTTGTTACTTTATTTCACGAGATATACTTCCGCTTCATCTTCTTCATCATCGTCATAAATTGATTACACACTGTCGTCGTTGTTGTGCCGGACAGAGCCGACGCTGGTAGAGATATGCTTGTTGTATTAAATACACATTCACTTGGTTAATGTGGTGGAAGATGATACCTATTACTCCATCGGTTAGTCCTAGACGTCTTAAAATTACGACAAAATTAAAACACGACTCTTGTTATAGTAGGTTGATGATATTAAAAAAACACGTAAACTCCTACTCCCGACACGAGACTTTAGAATTTTTAGGGCATGTGTATAATAAGAAGTTATAATGTTTCATAGTTCTGGCACAAATGGAAAATCTTCTTTTACGTGTGATCCGTTCCTTAAAAAGTGAATACTCTCTAATAAAATCAATTTCGTTATTAAGGCTTACTGCAAAAAAAAATGACAAACTTCTAAACTCTCCACCGAACCTTACGAGTTACCTCTCAGTTCGATCACGACCCCTCCACCGTTCGTTCCGTTGTGCTGGGTATGACCGTTGCGGAATTCCTGATACTTGAGAGCAGCTGGCGGGGGAGCTGGTGCCTTATCGCCCCTATAACGACTGCTGCTGGTCGTGCGGACTTCGCTTGTCTCGATGGTTTGCATGCCCCGTCCGTCCTTGGTGGGGACGGTCTTCTTGCTGAAATTCCTGATCGTATTGGTAACCCCCGGGCGATTGGGATCCTCCGATTTCTGCGTAATTCGGTAGCTTTCCGTGTGGTCTTCGGTGCTGGAGCTGCCCCGGCGTACGATGCTGGCCGTGTCTTTGTTTATCGTGATCGGCGAACGGGACCCAAGTGATGATTCCTGCTCCCGGTTGATGTACGTGTTGAGGTATTCCCGCGATGGGCTTCCAGCGTGACCGTTCCGTTCGTGACCGTTGGCGGTGGTTCCGTGCAGGGTGCGATACAGTTCCGGAGCCCGGTTTTGAAGGTTTTTAAGGAAGACGTTCTTCTTGTTGGTGGAGTATTCGTTGTGATGGTACTCGGTCCGTGCTTGGACACGTTCATCTTCGTACAGCGGGCTCTGGGTAAGATCCCGGGTGCTTCGGCTGATCAGGTTCACGATGGAGGGGCTCTTCAGTTGCATGGATTCGTTCTGGTTGCGGGAGGGCGTGTGCTGCAGGTCATCCAGATGGGAGTTGGATCGGTAGAAGGAGTTGTAGTTGTTTTTGGTGATCTTTTCCAGATAGATCGGACTTGGATCGTTGGATCCGTTGAGGCCGTGCACGTTGAAGGATTTGCTCCGGTTGAGCGCTTTGTAGGTCCGGGCGGGTTTGACCGGGCCGGTGTTGGCCGGGGGTTGTGGCGAAGGGCTAACGGTGTTGACGATCGAAACGTTGATGGTGGACGAGTGGAGCGGTTTGGCTTTTTGTTTTTGCTCGTAGAGTTTTCGCGGTAGGGTCTGGGAGCTGTTCTGGTAGTGACCGGAGGATTGCTGCATGTAGGAGGACGATGACGTCCCGTTGTGGTGATCGTGGTGGCCATTGGTCGTGGATGGGAGCCGGTTGGTACTCTTGCTGAAGCGGCCGAGCGTGCTGGCCGTTGGGGGTGGTGGTTGGCTGTAGCTCCTGTAATTGGAAGGAAAGGGGAGATGAGTTAAGACGAACGTATACGATTCAAGTGAGTTGGACCAACTGAAGCTTGTGCATTACTTGGGAAATCACCCATGGACATGCTGCAGGTTTCCTATGGATTATGGCCATACAGTTCATGAGCCAACACATCATTTCATGAGAATTCAAGAACAAGATACGGCGTATCTCAGCGGCGCCGGTGGTGTGGCGTTGGAAGTATTGGTGCTCAGCACGGAAAATAAGATCGACGGAAAACAATACAAGAAAAAAAAAGATACGGCGTATCGTGAGATACTCCCAGACACGTGTCACACTTGAAAGCAATCAAAATACATCCATGCTACGCATCAAGCTATATTACTACAAACATTCATAAATTTTATTATAGGGTGTGCCAGTTTCTATAAGCGCAGCTTGATACCGATATATTTATACAATGGTAACTCTAAGACCAGAAGGTCCCGAAGAAACGTGCTCAACTTTTTGGTTCCGCTCTGGTACTATCTTCGGTCCCAAGCTAATCGATGCACCCCTCGAAACATAGATAAATCCACGAACCCCTCATTTTATCTGTCAAACTTTCATAGCGAATCAAAACAAACATACACTCAAATTAATTGACTGATATTTTTCATGTGCGCAAAACACATAGATTGTAAGCATAGAAGAAAATTTACATTTTATGTGTGACTTATAAAAATCATGTGTGGTTCTTTTAAGTAACATTATGCATTGATTGAATTTGAAGTGCACTGATATAGAAAACAAAACAATATGCGCATAAAAATCAAAAACAAAACATAAATAAAACACGAGATCAGCATAAAACAAAAAAGGCACCAATGCAAGATAAAAGTTCGTTTTCGCACATAGTTTTGCAGAAATTGAACCTGTCGGTTGAGTTACTTGAACTGTTCACAGGTAATTAGTAATTGATTTATTTTGTATGCTCATAAATACATGTACTTTTGGTTGTAGAATTAAACTACACCACCAACAAACTCAAAACGAACTCATCGACGACCTATGTATAAGGATCCGGTTAGCTTTGTGGCTGAGACGCGTTATTCGAACGCATTGCCGACTAGCGGAAGTTAATCGTTAGTATTAATTAATATGATTTTCATTTTCAAATACGCAGTTCTCATCATCAAATATGCTATATACCTATTACAGGGATTGAATTCACAACGGTAGAAGTAGTCTTGGAAGAGTGGCTGTGCAGTGAAGACCACGACGTCAACGTTTCAAAGCAACCGGAGGATTCTTTAAAAACATCGAGCTACTCTGAGCGAATCAAGTTTTTCGAAGCCTAACAGTGTAGGCGTTCCCGATAGCAGACCAACTGATTTATCTGATGCTAATGCAGTAAGCGCCGGTTCTTCCTCTGACGTACCATCCGCTGAACACGCCACCAACGAAAAAAACAATTCCTTTCCCACGAACGCAACGAAAGCTTTCTTTGGTCATCGTGAGCTGGAATTGCTGTTGCGCAGTTCTCTGACTGGGGAAACGTTGCTGATCAGAGCGCTAAAAAGTCCACCCTTCGAGAGAAGCCAGAAGGAATTATCAGGAATAATTACCCGAATAATTACCGAACACCTATATACAATCTATACAATATAAAAAATCTATACAATTTAAAAGTAGTTTTGGTTTAATTATATATTAGTGGTGAAATTCATTAAATTCAATTTTTATAGAGCTGCCCTGCTATCAAACTCGCAATAGTCTTCATTAATCTCACATGTACAAATCATTTGCAGTTTGTATTCACAATCACTAGATTATCATTAAAATTCAAAAGAACTGCTAATAAAAACTATCTTGATTGAATCAACAAGATTTCATAAGTGCCACACATACTTTTCATGTGCTTAAGTAGCTGGTCAAATTTTAAGTGCCGTGCATATAAATACAATATGCACTTTTTTATGAGTGTAGTGTAGTACTAGAATTTCGACTACAATGGGGTACGTTAATCGATTTGCTTGGGACCAATAGGCTAGTCAAGTAGTGAGCCAATTTAAAATCGTTAGTTTCCATCGGTTGGTGAAAGGCTGTTGCTCGCGGACATTACAGAAGTGTGGATTACATATCGCTGCAGTCCAAGGGGTTGGTCACTCTGCACAGTGTGCCAAAAACAGATTTGGGCACACTCATTGGCACAGTTTGGCACCCATGGTATAAATTTTCATGATCGTTGAAGCTACTGGCAATACTGTACTACCTCTGTGCCTGCACAGCGCATGTGACAAATCATTTTTGATGACACAATCCAATGTTTGGATTCGTTTAACAGCAACCGCGAATTTTCGGCCGATAAGCGGGGTATCAAACAAGCAAAGTGAATAACATTATTGTTTATTTACTTTGCTTGTTTGGTACCCCGCATGACAGTTCGATTGGTACTTCTGGCATCACTCTTTGCGGGACTCTTATTATAACATTGACTCTGGGCAATCAGTACTGCGCTGAAAATGAGAGAACAGCTGACCACGGATTAATGTCCGGAAGGTAAATAGTCAACTCAAAACAATCGAGCTACCAGGGTCCAGGACCAGGACGTTCGGAGTTGTTCGTCGTGAAACCGAGCTGTGATTTTTTGCCTGAATACACCAGTCACACCAGTCGATCAGTGTAGAAAGCTGCAACAACGGTCTTGATAAATTCATCCCGGTGTACTCCCGGAATCGGTATTTATACCCTCGAGTTTCAACCAAGCAAACCACCACTGGGGGTGGGGGCCTTGTTGCTTGTTGTTCATATATTTAAATACAATTCAATGGTTTTAACTTTGATGAGAAGGAGAGATGACGTAACAACATAGAGGTAAATCTAAGACCAGAAGGTCCCGAAGAAACGTGCTCAACTTTTTGGCTCCGCTCTGGTACTATCTTCGGTCCCAAGCTAATCGATGCACCCCTCGAATCAAAGGAAAATCCACGAACCCCTCATTTTATCTGTCAAACTTTCATAGCAAATTAAAACAAACATAGTGTAGTGCTAGAATTTCGACTAGAATGGGGTACGTTAATCGATTTGCTTGGGACCAATAGGCTAGTCAAGTAGTGAGCCAATTTTAAATCGTTAGTTTCCACCGGTTGGTAGCAAGGAGAAACATGTGTAACCGTGCCTTCTACTATTACTATAAGCTGTGTTGTTTCGGTTTTATCCGGGACGGGACTTGACAATCGAGGTATGTTTCCAGGTTTTTTGACAGATAATGTATGGGCTAACTGTCAAAAAAACCTGAAAACCGCCGCCCTTCATTCTTAATGTTTTTGAAGAGTACACTGAACGAATTTGACATATTCCTGTTATGTGGAAGTCTAATAAATTTGCGCTATAAGATAATCCATTGAAAATGATATGAATGAAAATGTGTCAGGTAAATTATATATGAATATCTGATACATTTACAATGCTGATAATTTGGTAACTTTTATATGATCGTCATATGATAAATGAAAATCGATCAAATTATAATAATTAACTGAAATGGATTTGAAACCCATAAGCATAAGCTATACTTTTCACCACAATATAATATATGTATCATAAATCAATCGAAGTAAAGTTTATGTGAAAATAACATGAAATTTACTTCTTCTTTTGACACATATATTTAATCGATTTCTAAAAATAAATTCGAAAAATAAACATCAGGCAGTGGGAGCTTTCACAGTTGTGCCTTTTTTTTATTGTAGCTGATTTGGGATTCGATCAAGATCTGTTGAGGTGTGATGCTTTCGGTGTCTGTGCCTGATTCCACTGGGCCACGGCTGACTTCAAGATTGAGCTCGTTCAAATAGCATGAAGTAAGAACAGCTCTCCCGACATGGAATGTAGTGCAACTTTATGCTCGTTTTGCTAGAGTGAAGACAAATAGCACTGACAAATTTATGTTCCGTTTCGGTGGTGTAGTTTGTTCAAATCTTTCTTAATGCACCTGTGTGCAATAAATCAACGACTAAATTATATGATTTGATAGAACTGGCTCATGAAGTTCGAGTACAACTTAGGGCTGGAATCTGAATTAGCCGTGTAGAAGGCTTACAATTAGAATCATAGCAAAGTAAATATTACAGTAGAATCATTTTTTTTTTCAATCTCAATACATTCTTTTCTGGAACCAATTATCATATGAATGAGTGTACGTTAACATCGTTGAAAATTGTTTCAATAATTTATAAAGAACAATCATGTAAGATGTATTTTATTGGGAGCGATATTCATCCCAGAAAAACATGCAAAAACAAATGCTTGGTGTTGGATTTCTTAAAAGGCATTTCTATATGACTATTTAATGATTGGGATAGATCTGTTTACAATCTTTAAACGTCAAAAATCAAAGCAAGCTATTACAATGAGATATACATGTTTTCCTATACTGCAAAGTTAAATGACAGTCCAATAGTTTCTACATGTCTATTTATACGCGACATATCCACAAACGTCAAAAATCAGTAAAAGCAACTCCAATAAAATATACATGATTATCTTATAAGATATATATTTTAGTGAGCAATATTCATCATGAAAACAGGTATATTTTACTGAATTTTCTCGTAGTGCAAACTTATATGATTTTCCATTAGTTTCTAGATGTCTGTTCCCACCCATGACATATCAACAGTTTTTCACCATGAAATATATCAGACAATATTCATATACTTCTTACCTTCGCTAACCACGTTCGAAGCAAAGTATTATCAAGTACTAAGTATGTGAAATTACGATAGAAATCATTCCATATCGCAGTCATAGTTTTTAAGTGATAATCCAATGGAATCTATCAATCATCACATAGAATGAATAAATCTGCTGACATTGCTATGTTATAAGATGGATCCAATAAACGGTACATGTCGATTTGTTTCAGTGTACCCTTCGGAAAGTTGTGCGTGGTGTTTGACGGAGTTGAACAATGATGCCAGGAATGTAAAATATTTTTCTATTTTAATTTGGATTTTATTCGGAGTTTCTACCGC